GCAGCAACAGAAGAGATCCTTGGGCTGGCTTTTGGATCCTTCTCCTTGGCAGCAAAGAAGAGATCTTCGGCTTGTCTAACCAATTACGGTTAAGATCAATCAACTCATCAAGAGTTCTAAAACTTGCCACGCAAGTTCTCCACAACGTCAAATCGTGAGGAGAAGATCATGTTCCAGTGAAATGAAATTTTCGGATCGTCAACGAGAAGCAAACTCGACGTGAGCACTCGAGGGAGGCATCTCATCGCCACCGTGAAGAACCCAGTTTTAAACAAAGGGGAGAATCTAGATCATTCTCTTCTCTTTTGTATTCAGGAAATCCAATTATAATCGAGAGTTGAGAGATTTGTAAACATTCTTTTTCTAAGCAGTTAGAGAGAATAAAAGCAAATACATTTCTTTCATTCATTTTCTTATTACAAATTTTCCACAAACAATAATGATACTAGACTATCAGACATTTCAGATATGATCGTAATGAAGAGATCTGATTTGTCGCTAACGTATATTCTAAAATGTTCCTAGTCGATGAAATGTTAAAATGGGACATCATCACTTTGGGAAGACTAGTGTATATTCTATTTCTTCTTTGGTAGGATGATGATCCATCTCTTGGATAATTAATGTGAGACATTAAGATATAGTATTATCTTACATGTTAGTATATGTGTACTTAGACTTTTACCTAACCACGGTTCTCATTGAGTTGTGCATAACGGTTCTTATTGGATGCATCTCGAGACATAAGTAGATATTGAGATGGCAAGATGTGATTCGTCTCTCCCAGTATAAGGGGTTGATTGTTTTCAGCGACTAGATTGAGGGGCGGATGTCAAAAGTCCATGGATTCAAGGCATCTCAACCAGATCCATGTTCATAAAGAGCCAGTCATGTCCAATCATGGACTGGGGGTTCCAATTCAAACCTCACGAACAGTGAGTAGTTCTCCTCGAATCTTCACAACAGATTTGAGAGAGTTCATATCTAGAGAAAGACCGATGCAACAAGTCATTCGTTCATTCCAATGTGAACGGTTGATTCCTACGGTCCTCTCGGGATGTCAATGTTGTTCATATGCGACCAAACAATTGGTGTTCGACCAATTTACAAACGTTGCCTTGCCCAACCAACAACGACGTTCTCACAGGAAGAAGTCTCCAGAGACCGAATATCCTGAGGTCACTATCAATGTGATCGGCAGAGGGAAAGCCTCAGGTCCTAGTTCCGACGACTCTGAGATAAGTCGTTCACCGACCGTCAGAGAAATCGCTAACAAGTTTGAAGGAATCTACCAACGCACTCGAACGCAAACAGGAGCCATTCCCCCTGTCAACTATAACCAGAAAATCCTTGGCCGAGGTAAATAAGATAAACTGAGTGTCAGTTTGATCTTATAGGTTATGAGTCAATATCAACAAACACTAATCGAGCTATTAGGGTTTGACAGTTTTCCACACTCTAGGCTCGATAGTTTGACATTGTTTAACAAATAGACAGGACTGTACAATATTATCACTGAGTGGTCCTGATAAAATTGTGTTAGCATCTTACAGACATTTATCATAACTTATATCAGAGTAGTCTTCATGTATAGCTAGCACCTCTGTTGTACTTGTGGATATCATCCACTGTCGAGTTTTTAAGTTGGGGCCTAGAGCCACACCAAGCGCGTACTTAAATCTTATGAAACACAATTTATAGAGTGATGCGTATGATTGATACGAATATATGATTTTACAGGATACACATAAACGATTACGTATATCGGTAAAATTGGAATGCTATGTGCTTAGGAAATGAATTCTAGTATTTTTCCCATAAAGTTAACTTTTAGTCAACTAGTTGACATTTTGGTCAGCAGGTGACATTTTGGACAACAGTTGGCTTTTGGTCAACTTATTGACTTTTTGGTCATATGATGACTTATTAGTTAATGATTGGAAAATTACGAAATACCATATTTATGAAATACCGTATTGATGTGGTATTTTCATTTATGAAATACACACTTTATTATACCTTGATTAATGAGTCATGAGATGAGTCATTAAGGTGGTATGGTTTGGGAACATGGTTTTAGCACATAGTTTTGATTCTTCATGACTCTTTGCATGACTCATGAGATGAGTCAGTGCATGACTCATGAAAGGAATAATTATATTTAGATGACTCATGGCATGACTCATGAGATGAGTCATGACATATCTCACTCTATATATATGAGCTCTCTCTCTCTTATGGAAATGTTAATGAAAAATTGGTTAAGTGGTTTTTTCCATAAGAGAATAAAAGAGAGCTCAACCTCTTACTAAACTCTAGCAATCTTTGAGTAAGAGGAAGTAGTAGGATTTTAAAGTACCCCGGGGTGGATATCTTACCTTATGTCTCAAGAAGACTCCGATTTTATCAAGCTCACTTGAAGATTTGAAGATCCACTAAAAAGTGGTTTACAATAACAAGGAGAACGAGCTAGAGGTTGTTCGATCTACTATCGAATCATGCTACGAAAGTAAGCCTTCAAAGCTCTTGGTTGCTCTCTTAATTATAGGGATCATGTTAGATTTAATTAGGATGGTCCTAGTTTGTATTTCATGCTCTCTACATGCTTAGTATTATTATACATACAGTCTTCTGTTGCGTATTTTGCATGTAATTAGCACAGATTTCTAATATGGTATTAGAACCATGGTTCCATCTAATTAAATCTTAACATGAATATCTAACTCATAAAGGTCTTTGTACTTGCTTCTAATCACTAGTTTATTTAAAAGATATTTTAATGAAACTAGTTAATTTAATCAAGTTGTTTTGTCATTAATTATACTAGTTGTTGATTCAAAAATATGATTTTTGATTCATAAGTTTTTAGGAGTAAAAATACTTGTATAAATTGTAAAACATTTATTTATAACTAGTGTAGTTGTATGTTAGAAGCATGATAGTCCTATTTAAGTTAGGATAATTTCTATGTTATCTATTTTCCAATTTGTTACATAACTAGATAGATGCATATTTCTTAATGTTGATTAAGTTATATGCTTTATATCATCTTGCGTGGATGTTATGTTTATGGATGATAGTGGACAACGATTCTCTTGCATTTATTGTATTGATGTAATATAGCTAGAAATGTAATATTATTTTTGACCTCTTTCCTCCCCGATCATGGGCTACGCCTACGGGTTTAGGCACTTGCTCACTGATCATGGGCTACGCCTACGGGTATAGGCCCTTGTTCGGGTGTGGGAGGGTATGGTTGTTTAGTTTAGTTATTTTATTTATAGCTTTTATTTTACATTCAATGCAATATTATTACCCATCCTACGAAATGGTTTTGCCATAATAAATGGAGTTTGCACGTCTTATGTATATGTGATTGTAATAATACAGGATTTGCAAGGGAGCTAGCACTGCAAGGAGTTGCAAATTGATTGCCAAAATATAATTAGTGTAGTTGCATTTTAATTCCTTTAGTTGTCCACTATCATTCCATATTGTTATTACATATGTTGATATGTTGGTTGTACCCTAATTGTAGATATCAATATAATTGGGTGCTATATTCTGTAAAGTTTATATCTCTATCTCACTAGAGAATAGTTTTTATTATAAAAACTCATTTGTTTAACTCTGTGAGACATGGCAACAAGAGTTTATTGACCATAGAGTGATGAGACCGACATTAACATAGCGTTAGTGTGAAAGATAAATAAACCTATAGCAGTTAAAAGAAATATATTTAGAACGAACTTTTAACTAGCGTCAAGGAAAGTAATTAATTATTAGATATAGATCATGGGGTGATGCCCAACTTAAGATTAGGGGTGATGCCCAATCTTTCGCGCTATGGTCTTAAAGAGCGGTGGTTACTTAATTAAGTCTGATGAATATTCCCGGTGAATATCTCAGAACCCTCCCACCAATCTTGTACTTACCTGGCTAGTTTAATTGTTGCAAGTATAAATATAGAACATCTTTTAACTATATCAAGTTTGATTACGGTAAAAGATTTATGAAATCGTTCGTAGCCCTCCATCATTTCAGTTGAATACTACTAAGCTTATAAATACTTTGTTTGTTGGCTATCGTCAAGACAATATTATTCTATGGCTAAGTAGTATTCATCTGTATATAAGATATAAGGATAGCTTAAATTGGTTATGCAACTTTGTTGGCCTTCGTCAAGAGTGTGCATAAGTTAAATTTAAGCCAGTCAAGAAATAATGGGTCCAAACTTAACTAGCTTTTTATGATTTGTTGGCCATCGTCAAGGTCATAAAAGAATAGGGGCAAAATCATATCAAGAATTATAAGAATGTAAAAGACAAAAATTGTCTACCAATTATTGAGTATATCGATTTGTTGATCATCGTCAATGTTGATACATTCAATGATAATTGGATCTAGATCCCACTTGAAAACAAGGGGTTGTTTTCCGTTCACCTCTTATATAGGTTTTGAGGGACTCAAAAAATAGTGGGAGGCATAACTTAGATAAAAAAAATAAACCAAATCTATTTTATGTATTGAACATCTGCTAAAAAAAAATTCTCTCTCTTTCAGGCCATTATGTCTGGCTTAAAACTCATACTAGAACAGAACAAGTTAACTGGTCCTAACTACAAAGACTGGTTGATGAATGTTAAAATTGTCCTAACTTATGACAAAGTAGCATATGTCCTCACAACGCCAGAACCCGTTCTAGGCCCAGAACCCACTGTAGCGGACAATGAAATCCGCATAAAGTGGGATAGAGATTGTTCACTTGCTCAATGCCTCACAATTGCCTCCATGGATTTGGTCCATCAGAGGCAACATGAGAATATGGATATCAGATCCATATTTCGTAATACAGAAGAACTGGATAGCGAGCAACCTCGACAAATGAAGTACGCGACGTCTAGGAATTTGTTCTAGACAAAAATGATTATGGGATCTCCTCTTGGGGACCATGTCCTCAAAATGATCGCCTATGTCAATGAGCTTGAACTTTTGAACGCATGTCTAGATGCAGTAGATATACAGATATCGTTCTGCAGTCCTTGACACCAATCTACTCTCGATTCATATCACAGTTCTTGATGATGGATCTGAAGCCCACTCTTCCTGCCCTGCTTAATTTGTTAAGACAGGAGGAAAGTTCTATGAAAAAGGGACAAACACCAGCCTTGGTTATAGGGAAATCTTCTTCCACTTCTAGCAAACTGGTTGCCAAGAAAAAGGGAATGAAGAAAACTACTAAACCAAAGAAATGTGTTAAGAAGGCTGTCAAGAAGGACAAAGGGAAGGTAAAAATGACGACTACAGAATGCTTCCATTGTCACAGGTCAGGACACTGGAAAAGGAACTGTCCTGAATTCCTAGCCTCACTCAATAAGAAGAAGCAAGTTGTTGCTTCATCTTCAGGTGCGTTGGTTACTCAGAATTGTTTTTCTATAAATCCTACACCTTGGGTATTAGATACCGGATCAGGATCTCACATGTGTAATTTGTTACAGGGGATGAGAAGTTATAGAAAGTTTGTTGCTGGAGAGATGACCCTACAAGTTAGTAATGGTACAATAGTTGCAGCAGTTACAGTTGGAGATTTTCATCTAGCTTTACCAAATGAAAACATTTTGTTTTGAATAGTTGCTATTTTGTACCAACTATGATATGTAATATAATATCCATATCTTTATTAGATAAAGATGGATATATATTCAAGTTGGAGAACAATGTTATAAATATTATATTTAACAAAAGTTGATTGCTTATGGAACATTGTGTAATGGCATATATATTCTTAATCAAAACACAATTATGAATACTCATCACAATAATAAAAGAAAGCACTCAATTATGAACGATACTTTCTTATGGCATTGTAGACTTGGCCATATTAATAAAGAAAGACTTGGCGAGCTACATAAGCATGGATATTTAGATCCATTTGACTTTAAGTCTTATGATACTTGCAACTCTTGTCTTAAAGGTAAAATGACCAAAACTCCATTTACGGGAACTAGAGCAAGAGTTATAGAACTCTTAGGACTGATACATAGTGATGTATTTGGTCCTATGTCTACAATGGCCAGAGGTGGCTACTCTTACTTTATTATTTTTACTGATGATTTTTTAAGATTTGAACATGTGTTTTTGATGAAACACAAGTCTGAAGTATTTGAGAAATTTATCGAGTATAAAAATAAAGTAGAGAACCAAACGAGCAAGAAAGTTAAAATTCTTCGATCGGATCGAGGAGGTGAATACTTGAGCTCAGAATTCTTAGGGTTTTTAAAAGAGAATGGGATTTTCTCTCAAGTTACTCCACCATTTACACCACAGCTTAATAGCGAGTCAGAAAGGAGGAATCGTACCCCATTAGATATGGTACGTTCCACGATGAGTAATGCTGAGTTATCTTTTTCATTCTAGGGGTATGTGTTGAAAACAACAGCACACTTACTGAATATGGTTCAAACTAAAGCAGTGCCTAAACCTCCATATGAGATATGGTATGGGATGAAACCACATCTTAATTATATTAAGATTTGGGGATGTCATGCTTATGTAAAAAAGCAAGATCCAAAAAAGTTAGAGGCATCTCAGTATTGTGTAAATATGTAGGATATTCAAGGAATTCCTATAGATATCAATTCTACCACATCGATGAACAAAAGATAATTGTTTCTCGGTATGTTACCTTATTGGAGAAGGAATTTCTTGAAAAAAAAATTAGTGGGAGCATGGTAGAACTAAAAGAAATTTTAGAGATACAAATCAATAGTGATAATTTAGTAGAATCATAAAATTCAGTTGTACCAGAAGAACCTCAACCACTCTGCAGATATCCAAGGCGATCTCATGCACCTAAAAGACAATATGATTTTCTTTTGCATGTTAGATCACGTCATAGATGATGACGAATCTTTGAGTTATCAGCAAGCCTCTCAGAGTAGGGACTCTGTTGCTTGGTATGATGCAATAAAATCCGAAATAGACTCTATATACACCAACAAAGTATGGATCTTAGACAATGCTCCTAAAGGGTTGATACACATAGGTTACAAATGGTTGTTTAAGAAAAAGTTGGGTGTAGATGGGAAAGTAGAGACTTTTAAAGCTGGACTGGTAGCTAAAGGTTTTCATCAAAGACCTGGTTTGGACTATGATAAAACCTTTTCTCCAGTGGCTATGCTAAAGTCTATTCGGATCCTACTTGCTATAGCTGCTCACTATGACTACGAGATCTGGCAAATGGACGTCAAAACTGCATTTCTAAATGGTGATTTAGAAGAGTGCATATATATGTCTCAACCAGAGGGATTTGTAGTCAGTGGGAGCAGTGGAAAAGCATGTAAGTTGCTTAAAACCATTTATGGACTGAAGCAAGCATCACGGAGATGGAACATCTATTTTGATGATGCTATCAAAGAGTATGGTTTCATCAAAAATCTAGATGAACCATATGTGTATAAAAGATAATTGGGAGTATATTATCATTTCTTATTTTGTATGTAGACGATATACTCTTAATTAGTAATGATATATCGTCATTACAAGCAGTTAAAATTTGGCTATTAAAAATATTTTTCATGAAAGATTTGGGTGAAGCATCCTGTACATTACAAGCAGTTAAAATTTGGCTATTAAAAATATTTTTCATGAAAGATTTGGGTGAAGCATCCTGTATACTGGGTATTCAGTTCTATAGAGATAGATCTAGAAGGATATTAGGATTATCCCAATCTAGATACATTGGCAAAGTGCTAAAGCGATTTAGCATGGAAAATTCCAAGAAAGGTTTTGTACCTGCATCTCCTGGAATCTCCCTCTCTAAAAAGATGTCTCCCTAGACTGATGAAGAAAGGAAACACATGAGTCTAATTCCTTATGCCGCGGCAGTAGGATCAATCATGTTACCATGTTATGTACTAAGGAAACACATGAGTCTAATTCCTTATGCCGCGGCAGTAGGATCAATCATGTTACCATGTTATGTACTAGACCGGATATCGCTTATTCACTCAGTTTGGTAAGTAGATATCAATCTAATCGTGGAGAAGAGCACTGGAAAGAAGTCAAATATATACTTAAGTACCTAAAAAGGACTAAAGAAGTATTTTTGATATACGGTAAAAGTAACCTCCAAATAGAGACTTTTTCTGACTCTAGCTTTCACAGCGATATCGATGATAGTAAATCTATTTCAGGATATGTTTTTACCCTCAATAGAGGGGCTGTCAGTTGGAAAAGTTCCAAGCAGGACACAGTAGCATACTTTACTATGGAAGTCGAACACATTGCGGCAAATGATGCAGCCAAAGAAGCTGTCTGGATGAGGAAGTTCCTTTCAGAACTGGAAGTTGTTCCTACCATTAAAGATCCAGTACCTTTATATTGTGATAGTAATGCTACAATAGCTCTGACAAAGGAACCCCCGGTCTCACCATAAGTCCAGACACATTCTGAGGAAGTATCACTTGATCAGGGAGATAGTTGATCGCCAAGAGATCAAGATTGAAAGAGTTGACATAAAAGGTAATATAGCAGATCCATTCACAAAGGCAATTGCTCGTACACAATTTGAAAAACTTGTTGATCTATTAGATATTAGATACTACAATGATTGGCCTTAGTGCAAGTGGGAGTTTGTTAGATATAGGTGCCCTGTAAGCAATAATTGTATATTATAACAGGACCTATATGAATATAACATCCTTGTTCAAAATGATAGTATGCTATTTTAGTCAAATTTATCTGGTATTTTAATACAGATAAAGTCCATAGAATGATACTAGACTATCAGACATTTCGGATATGATCGTAATGAAGAGATCTGATTTGTCGCTGACGTATATTCTAAAATGTTCCTAGTTGATGAAGTATTAAAATGGGACATCATCACTTTGGGAAGACTAGTGTATATTTTATTTCTCTTTTGGTAGGATGATGATCCATCTCTTGGATCATTGATGTGAGACATCAAGATATAATATACAGATGACTCATTAGTGAATGAGTTGACTGAACGACTCACTGAGAACATCTTATACTTAACTGTCAAATAAAAGTTCTCAAGTGATATAGTACAAAGTAATCTCTTGACCTGAGGCATGAGTGCAATATCTTACATGTCAGTATAGGTGTACTTAGACTTTTACCTGACCACGGTTCTCATTGAGTTGTGCATAACGGTTCTTGTTGGGTGCATCCCGAGCCATAAGTAGATATTAAGATGCCAAGATGGGATTCGTCTCTCCCAGTATAAGGGGTTGATGTCATAGGATTGTTTGATATAACTATATCCAGAAAATCCTTGGCCGAGGTAAATAAGATAAACTGAGTGTCAGTTTGATCTTATAGGTTATGAGTCAATATCAACAAACACTAATCGAGCTATTAGGGTTTGACAGTTTTTCACACCCTAGGCTCGATAGTTTGACATTGTCTAACGAATAGACCGGACTGTACAATATTATCACTGAGTGGTCCTGATAAAATTGTGTTAGCATCTTGCAGACATTTATCATAACTTATATCCGGGTAGTCTTCATGTGTAGCTAGCGCCTCTGTTGTACTTGTAGATATCATCCACTGCCGAGTTCTTAAGTTGGGCCCTAGAGTCACACCAAACGCGTACTTGAATCCTATGAAACACAATTTATAAAGTGATGCGTATGATTGATACACATATATGATTTTACAGGATATACATAAACGGTTATGTATATCGGTAAAATCAGAATGCTATGTGCTTAGGAAATGAATTCTAGTATTTTTCCATAAAGTTAACTTTTAGTCAACTAGTTGACATTTTGGTCAACAGTTGACTTTTGGTCAACTCGTTGACTTTTTGGTCATATGATGACTACTTAGTCAATGATTGAAAAATTATGAAATACTATATTTATGAAATACCATATTGATGTGATATTTTCATTTATGAAATACACACTTTATTATACCTTGATTAATGAGTCATGAGATGAGTCATTAAGGTGGTATGGTTTGGGAACATGGTTTTAGCACATAGTTTTGATTCTTCATGACTCTTTGCATGACTCATGAGATGAGTCAATGCATGACTCATGAAAGGAATCATTACATTTAGATGATTCATGGCATGACTCATGAGATGACTCATGACATATCTCACTCTATATATATGAGCTCTCTCTCTCTTATGGAAAGGTTAATGAAAAATTGGTTAAGTGGTTTTTTTCCATAAGAGAATAAAAGAGAGCTCAACCTCTTACTAAACTCTAGCAATCTTTGAGTAAGAGGAAGTAGTAGGATTTTAAAGTACCCCTGGGTGGATATCTTGTCTTGTGTCTCAAGAAGACTCCGATTTTATCAAGTTCACTTGAAGACTTGGAGATTCACTAAAAAGAGGTTTACAACAACAAGGAGAACGAGCTAGGGGTTGTTCGATCTACTATCGATTCACGCTATGAAAATAAGCCTTCAAAGCTCTTGGTTGCTCTCTTAATTATAGGGATCATGTTAGATTTAAGGGAAAAATGCTTCCAGCCCCCAAAAGCCAAGAAAATGTGCTTCTCACCCCCAAGACTTTGTCAACAGGTGTTTTACCCCCAAAAATAAAGATTCTGTTCTCTGAGCCCCCAAAATATAAAACCCAAGAGATTAAAATATGTGAAGACCATAATATCATTCTCTCTCTCTTTCTTTTTTATTAAAATATTATGAGGATTATTTTATTATTTTTGTTTTCTCTCTCTCTCTCTCTTTATCATGATGTACTGAGATGATAGTTGAAATGATTGATGAGGATTATTTTATTATTTTTGTTTTTTATTATTTTCGTTATTTGTATTAGGAGATTGTTAAAGTTACGGGTTAATTGTTAAGGTTACGAGTTAATTGTTAATGTTACGGGTCAATTGTTAAGGGTATGAATCCTCTCTCTCTCTCTCTCTCTCTCTCTCTCTCTCTCTCTCTCTCTCTCTATCATGATGTTACTTTGATGATATTGAAATGATTGAAGAGGATTATTATTTTATTATTTTCGTTTATTATTCTTTTTATATTTTTAGAATATTCATTGTTAAGGATAATGGTTGGTTGTAAAGGTTATGTATTGATTGTTAAGGTTACGGGTTGGTTGTTAAGGTTACGGGTTTGTTTTTAAGGTTATGGGTTTGTTGTGTAGGTTACGGATTTGTTGTTAAGGTTACGGGTTTAATTATTAAGGTTACGTGTTTAATTGTTAAGGTTACGGGTTTAATTATTACGGTTACGGTTTAATTGTTAAGGTTACGGTTTAATTGTTAAGGTTACGGTTTTAATTGTTAAGGTTACGGTTTTAATTGTTAAGGTTACGGTTTAATTGTTAAGGTTACGGTTTAATTGTTAAGGTTACGGGTTTAATTGTTAAGGTTACGAGAGAGAGAAGGGATCCATAACCTTAACAATTGACCCGTAACCTTAAAAATTAAACTCGTAACCTTAACAATTGACCCGT